GGGGGGGGAAAAAAAAAAAACATAGCCGAAATTTTCTCCAAGAAAACCGCGAATTCGAATAAAGATTTGTTATACGCGTGCGGACAGAACATCGACGAACTGAAGACGTATGGAGGAAGGTCGGCGATCCCGTGTTTCTTCTCTGACGCTATTACTCAATTCCCCTCTCGCGCGTCTCAGCCATCTACTAACTACATTCATTCGTCCATTTCTATTACTTGTTACTATACTACTCGTTAGCTACAGCACGTTAGTGCGAGTACAACGCTAATTGATATACGGACTTCATCGATCGATTGTCCACAAAAAGATCGTTTCCCAGGACATGGCATTCCTGTATCCTCCTCATGCGACCTCGAGGTTCTTTCGTTGGTTTTCGCTGCAAAACAACTGACAAAGAAACGAGGCTAGACACGTTTCTCTTCAACCTTGGCGCAACTATCAATTTGCCGAACCCATCCCGAAGCAAAGGCAAAGGACCGATACCTGCTGCTGGACGGGAACAGAATACTACTGTACTACTCGTTCTTCCTCAAAAACTAAAACTAAGCGATCCACCTTCACATATCTACGATGGATTCGATACAAGTGTGTTGCACCCCCGACATTGTTGGCTGAGGTGTAGCTTTGGATCCTAAGATGACGACTATCAAACACAATCATCATCACTATCAGTATTACTATTTTGTCTCCACCAGTGAGTGATTCGCCACTTACCATTCTCACTACAAAACTATCACATCGGCTGTTCCTCATTCAGTTTTCAATTGCGTCAAGAACCTACATACTACCGTCTTCCCCCGAACACAACGCACCCTCATTTTGACTGCATCGGGCCGGAAACATGCCTTGCATACGTTCATTTTCAGGGTGCGTTATGTTCGGGGGAAGACGGTAGTACTACTTACTACATATGCTGCGGTGATTCTGCTGCTAAGCAAGACTGTCCGCCAGGCAGAAATGCAACGACCGCTTTCTTCCAAAAACCGGTCTCTTTCCGCGCAGCCAAGCGTCAAAAAGGTTAAGAGTTCCTTGCAAGTGTACTCAAGGATGGAAGGAAGGCAGAACAAGTCTGGTGAAGGTTGTCACTCACGGAGACCGTCTCGGGTCAATTCAATCCAAGTACCATGCGCCATACGACTTCCCCATGTGCTACTTTACTCAAACCCTACTACTACTACTACTACTATGGAAGGCGTATTTATCTACCTACCGAACCGAAAGAAAAGGCGATAAACGTTCGCGAAGAAAAAGAGTAAATAAGACATTATCCAATCGGTTGAGTCATCGATCGAACCGTCGTCCCTCGTCTATTCTGCACCGCTATGAAACGTCTCGTGATGGCATACTCCGCTCCACGAGGATATGATCAATTACCTCATTGCAAAACCAGCCGATGACATCCGTTCTTCTCCCTTGCTGCTGCTCCATTCTGTGACATACAACGGTATGTGCATGCACAACGGCAAGCGCAACCTGTGGCTTATAAGAAGTGCAACTCGCGAGAGCCTTGTCTTCTCCTCTCTGCTTCCTCCACTGCCATTCAGCGATGACGATGTGACAATGAGCGCATCAAGTACGGCAGATTGCCGGCAGGCTAATCCCGAGCTTCTGCAAAAACGGCCCAAAGCATGGTCTTTGCGTGGGCACTTGCTGGCAAGATTTGCGGACATTCCGTTCAAATAGAATATAGCTAGCTAAGGACGTACTCACTAGGACTTTTCAACTGATGCCGGGATATGATTGCGGCCAGATGGATCCAGGACTGGCGGTAATTGCGGTCGGATACATCCAGTGTAGGTCCTCGCGTGATCATGCTCTCAAAGTCTTCCTATAACAGGCGAGGAAACGAACACGGGAAAAGCAGCAGCTTCTATAATTCCGTACGCCATAAGGACAAAGGAGCGCCTGAGACGGCAAACTAACAAGAAGCTGCCTCATAAAATTAATTCCCCCGCACTCACCATCCTAAATCATAACCTCAACGACGTCGCCACATCGTTTTCCTCCCCACACCTTCATCGGTCTTGGGCCAAGCAACGTCTCCAAGCACCATACATCCAGGCCGTTCTTTATATCCAAAAGGTCTCCATGTCCAGAGGCAAAAGGAAGAAGTGAGGGAAGTAAGAGAGAAGCACAAGCTCATTACCAGAAGAAGTCAACAACACGCTCTCACGTTAGCCAACCAACATCGGCTTGCCATAATTCCATCCCCGCGCAAGACACGCCACGCTCCCTCCTCCCCTTTTCTCCTCCTTCCCACACCCCGCCCCCCGTATCTTTAGAGGGGGCTGCTGCCGTCCTCCGCCCTCCCTTCCTCCTTGCCACCGCCTATCGCCACCTCTGCTTATCATGATAGCACACGCAATCCGCTTTTCTTCTTATGAGACGTCGCCCGCCCGCCCCTCTTCACAACTTCCATTGGCCGCTTTCACGGCAAGAACTAACGTTAACGAGTGTGAGCGATTCTTGACGCACACCCTCMCCTTTCGCCCYCTCGTATCGTCCYCCCTCCCCCCCYCCCCCCCCCCCCTCCCCCTCTCCACCTCCTCTTCCTGAACGGCGGGGCAGCAATCGAAAATCTTGGGTTTCTTTCGTTTTCTGATATGTAAATTAACCGCGTTGTAATGCTGCACGCCCACGGACGAATCTGCATCCCATCTGCGAGGGAAAAGTGGGACGCAAGGGTTCGACTAGCTCGTCTGCTCCATTGGCTGGCATGCAGGGGAGCGAGTGCGGGTGAAGGGTTAACATTTCTCAATTCTGAGTGTCGAGAAAGGTGCAAGGAGCTCAAAATTTCGCGAGCAATCGCGGAAGCGAGGAAGAAAAGACGGCAAGCCACAGCGGGCGCGAGACATAGCGAGAAGGGAACGAGAGGGAGAGAAACCACGGGGAAGAAGGGAGACGGATTTCCGATGTACGGGGCACAAGCACCTGCATGGCTGCCGCCCAGTCGCTGAATCCTCCAAGCGCATCTGTCCACGAACACAGGGAAAAGTCATATGCATCGTTATTGCCAAAAAACTGAGTCACAAACCATGTAAAAAGACGACTGGGAGGAAGGGGAAGGAGGACAGGAATGAATAGAGGAGTAAGTGGAAGCAGAGAGTAAGCAGGACCAGAAAGAGGGGAGGAGAGAGGAAAAGGGGAGGGAAAGGAGGTGCGGAACGGATTTCAAGAGGGACGAAGGGGAGGGGGGCTGGAGGGCGGAGTGGAACAGATTTGAACAGGCAGGAAGGGTAGGGGGAGAGGGGGGGTGCAGAACGGACTTGAAGAGGGAGCAAGGGGCGCCGGAGAGAAAGGGGAAGGGGGGGGGAGGGGGGAGGCGGGGGGAAAGGGACGGATTTGGAGAGGGAGGAAGGGGAAGAGGAGGGGTCCGAGCAACGGCTGCGAGGAGGGAGGAAGCCTTAGGAGGGTGATCAAACAAGACGAGCCCCATTGTAAACCATCAAAACATCGGTCAGGTGACCCACGTTGGCGGCTGTCGCCGCCATACAATTCAAGTTTGACAGACCAGGAAAGAGGGGAGGCAAGAGAAAAAGGCAATGAGTGAGAAGGGGGACCACAGTTAGCCGGTATTTGTACTCTCAAGAGCACAAAAACATTCGTCATCATTGGCATTGTGTGGCCCGTCATTTGGTCAAATCATCACCATTTCAAACAGCCAAAAAAAAATCGAGTGCTCGGTAGGACGGAACGGAACAGCGAGAAACTGAGAAATGTAGAGCACGTTAGGTGGCCGCCAAGGACAGAGCCGAAGCAAAGATAAAGGCTACTACCAACAGTAGTCCTTCGCGAGGGGACTCCATAACGAGGCGCACGATACAGCTGCGTGCACGCTGAGGAGAAGGGTCGTCACGAAAGATGGAGAGGGGGGAAGGAGAGCGGACGACGAGCTATGCAAAGGGGAGGAAGAAGAACACTAGCTCGGCGACGAACACAGAAGCTGAAGCGACAGAACGAAGCGCGGCCTCGTGCGGGAACCGTAAAGATCGGAACAGCCGCCGGTGAGGAGCACAACAAGGATAAGGAAGGCGACCGGCGGACATACAGACGGGCAAAGTGGGCAGAGCTATGTGAGCGATGACCGCGGGGGGCAGATTGAGAAGACAAGGATCAGCATGGGTTAAACACCGACAGAAAAGGTAGTGAAATATCGCAATTAAAAGAAGACGCAGCAGCAGCGCACAGAGAGAGAGAGAGAGAGAGAGAGAGAGAGAGAGAGAGAGAGAGAGAGAGGAGGCGACAAAAGAGGGAAAGACAAAGCCAAGCACAAACTGGTGGGTGAGAAGGCATCAGAAGAGCGGAGAGCCGAGGAACAAACGATGGAATCAGCCGTATATTTTAGAGGGGAGAGAATTGAGAACGGGATGCCAATAACAGAGAATGAGTTACACCAGAAATTATACTGCCGAAAGTTGTAAAAAAGCCGATGGAAAGGAAAAAGAAACATTGTCAAGACGGAGAGGAAGGAAGCCGGCAGCACAGGAGGAAGAGCGTGTAGGGAGAGGCAGAAAAAAGCACCGGCAGAAATCGGTCTGCTGCGCGTCATTAAGAGGTGAGGGGGGAAAGAAATGACGACCAGTGCGAATGTGTGAGATAGCGCAAGATACTGATATCAGGTAGCCAAAAGCAGGAAGAACCTTGCGCAATGGAGGCGGGAGGCGCGGAGCGGAAACTGGGGAGAAGGGAAGTCGGGAGGTTTTGGAACACATGGACGGCAATTATGAGCTCCGACACGTCCGGGCAGAGAAAGGAAGGGAAACATACTTCATAGAGGAGAGAATGGAAAGAACACATAAACATCGGCCAACTCTCCTCACGTTGTCTGCATTCATGCCCCTTGGAGAGCCCAGTTGAACTTTACTGAACATTCGCCCAGCTATTTCAATCGCACTGTCAATAACACCGATTCGGGTTGAAGATGATCGCAAGCTCGGGGGTTGAGGCGCAAGTGCAAATTCACCCGAAGCTCATTAGCCCAGATGAGTTTGTCACAGGTGAGGAAGTAACGACGCGACAACGAGAGACAGGAAATGAACCTCAGATGACGGAAGAGAAACAGAGAAAATAGCGAATCGAGAAAGACGAGACGAAGACGTAAGAACAGCCTGCACTACTCCTGAGCGGAGGGAGATGAATATGAAGATAGTAGAACCCACCTCGTCTAGCCTCCAACCCGGTCGTAGGATCTTCGCGACCGCTTTCCCCCATTGAGGGTGCCCTTCAGGTTGACGTCTCGAGGATCGTTCCTGCAGAACACGCCGCGTTCACTAGCCCAATTCCAATCGGGATGGGACTCTCTCTCTCTCTCTCTCTCTCTCTCTCTCTCTCTCTCTCTCTCTCTCTCTCTCTCTCTCTCTCTCTCTCTCTCTCTCTCTCNCTCTCTCTCTCTCTCTCTCTCTCTCTCTCTCTCTCTCTCTCTCTCTCTCTCTCTCTCTCTCTCTCTCTCTCGCTCGCTCGCTCGCTCGCTCGCTGCGTGTGTGTGTGTGTGTGAGTGAGTGTTCAAAATCGCGCTATTCCTCAATTCCACTTAAACAGACGCAATCTTCGGATGACAAGAGCAAAAGGGACATTCCATGCCCGCGCTGTCAACGTTCGGGTGGATCGCACGCCATAGCTAGAGCTCGTGAGCGGCGAGCTGACATGAAGGGACGAATCGCGCGCACGGGTATCCAGGTCCTTTCAGTTACCCACGTGTGCGCCGCTCTTCTCTTCTTCTCGCTCTCTCCGTCCCGCATGCTTGTGACGAGGCGCCAACTGTGCCTACTCCCAGGCGACGGATGGTGGAACTGGCGGCCTTCGTGGCCCCTTGATGCTTCGCTGTTGCCCTTGCTGGCGGTGACGTGCCACTGTCGAAAGTCGCTTTCCGGCCTCTTCGCGCTGCCACGCCAGAGATTACTCCTCGCGCACTCTTTCCTGGCCTTGTTGGCCATATTCGTCCGATGTGGGTGTCCAGGCTGGTGACTGGTCCGCTACCCGACAACCAGCGCTGCACGGCTCCCAACGATGACGAGGCAAGTCCAGGGGCGTCGATTGCGCCAACCGACGGTCCCCACGCTTTCCTAACCTCCAGCCGAACCCAGTCCCCGCCTCTATTCTTCCTTTTTTTTTGCCCTCTTTCTTTTTCGGATTTTCGATTTTCGGAATCGACCTCCTTTCCTTCCCTTTTCTTTCCCAGTCAACACTCTCGCGGCCCTCCAGCCGAGGCTACCGTAGGTAGCTGCCACCACCGCTTCCCGCCTTCCCGCCTTCATTCGTTCTGCGTTTCAATTCTTTCTTGCCTCCACCACACCACACGTCCCCCCCCCGTCTTGCATTGCACCAAAATACAGATCGGCGCGCCACAAATGGCCAGTGGGACGTCCACGTCGCACGCGCCTCCTTTCCTTTCTTCCGCATGGCCTAGTCACACACTGCGCTCGCCGCTCGCTTTGGGTGGGACTGCTGGAGGTAGCGCGCCACGGGCCGATCCCACTTGGCCTTCCACGCCGCCCTGCGGAATGCTGCTCTCAAATTGAGGGCGCTTCTCCCGCCGTACGACAAAGCAGAGTGACCACAGCGCAGAAAACGAGGAAATCACAATCCGAATCTTCAAAAAGAAAAAGAGGGAAAATAATAATTGAAAAAAAAGCCTCGAAAAGATGAAGCACTATCGCGAATCGCAAATAGCTTTGGCGCGCGCCGCGACCCCGCCGCCCAAGTTGCTACCGGTAGGGGGACTGCCGCGCCCATTCTTCCCTGCCCGTGCGGGCGCGCGTCGCACCATCCCACGGGGGTACTCCACTCGCTTTCAGCGTTCAGCACTTGCTGGGACCTAGAAGAGGTCCCGTCCAGGCCAAGAAGCAGGCGGCGCCCGGGATAATGCCACGCTGTGTCAACGGCGGGGCAAATCGTCCACTTGGAGCTCAAAGAGCGGCCTCGTCCTCAGCTCACATGCGCGAGCGCTCATCTGTCTCAGCTGCCGACTTGACTTTTCACTTTCTATATTTGGGGTTGAACCCTAACCAGTACTTCGCCCGCTCGCTCGAAGTATACTGCACGATTGTCGTACAGTCAGCAAATTCCTTCTTCGGATGCGCCACTGTGGGTCGGGACGAAGTGCTGATGGCGTCCAAGCTTACCTAGACGTCCTTGAAGCCCAGGGGATAGCCCTTATAATTCAGTATGTCGGGACAACGCGGCGCAAAGCCAGCGACCAGCCAACATCGGCCCAACTGGCCGATGCCCCAAATGAGAATAGCGCCCGAATAAGCATGAGCATCGCCAGAGCATAAAACAATGCTCCATGTGGGACCTGACCCGCAGTCCACAGGACAAGGCCCATTGCTGATCCCACCTGTCGCTCGCACTCCACTTAATAGACCCACACATAGAAATGCTCGAGCTCTCGAGCTCTCAACTTCCATATCCACATCATCAGGCAGACGGTTTTTGGCTTTTTCTGCCAAGAAAAAAGACGCGGTATATACGTGTCTTTTGGCTGAGTACAGGGCTTTCACGGGTTTATCCTGGAGCTTACGCACACAAGGACTTGCGTACATGTTTCTGACCGGAATCATAGCCAACTCTCGATGTATTTGAGCACGACCGGAGCAAAGAATCAGTCGAAGTAGTACTACAGCGAGTATGCTCTGGCTGTCGTTAAGAACCGGATTCAGGCCTTCGTGTGAAAGAGAAGGGAAAAAGGAAGGTCTTCGTGTGAGCACAGGCACATAGAAATGAGGGAAGGAGGGAGGAGAGGAGGGACACGTCGGCCACAAACGCGATACTGCCCAATGAGGTGGTAAGGCAAAGAAAGGAAAAAAAAAGAAAAGAAAAAAACAAGGTGGTGATCAGACCTGGCGATCTGAGGTTGCCCTCCGCGTTGCATACTCTGGTCCAACGTGGTTCACTGACACATGCCGCCTCGCTCCACTACACAACAGTCTACATGCATCCGGACGAGGCAAACATTTCAAATGCATGGGGTCCAGAATGCGTCCGAAGGCATGTAAAGTGCTGTGTAGTGGAGCGAGGCCCATGGGCAACAAAACCAAAGGTGGTGATGCGGACACAGCACAGAATTCACGAGCGGGCCTAGCTCAGTTGGTACACACAATGAACTGTTGAAATTCAGAGCGAAAGTTCGAATCCAGCTGCCATCAGATGAACAGAATACAACAATTATGAATTACGTGGTGCTCTCGCCCTTTCAAAACAAAACGGGAAAAAACAATACAGAATTCCTTCTTCCTCCGTGAGAGGTGGCCGTGGGCTATTGGTGGCAGCCTTGGAATCATTCCGTGTGGGGCAGTAGCCCTGGGCTGGTAGTGGGGCCGGACACTAAGGCCCGGACCCACCTGCCAGGCTATAGCTTGATGCCCGGAAAGCATCGGCCAACCCAGATCCTACCTTCTTCCCCCAAACATAACGTGTATGCGTTGTATTCGAGTTTGAAAAATATGAAAAAATAGAATAGAAGGCATATGCGTTCTATTCGAAATACAGTGCTATTCGAATAGAACGTATTCGAACAGAACTCACCCTATGCGTTGTATTCGCTTACGATGTATATGCATTATGTTCGGGGGAAGAAGGTAGCCTACCGGAATGGACAAGAGAAAGGGGACTCGACAACGAGAGCAATTTTTGCCACCTCTCTACCTTTTCTGTTTGCTAAACCACCAGTACTTGGCCCACATATGCACCACAGCTGTCAGGGCTAAGTCCAACCCCGGGTCAGCGCAACTTCCTGATCGGAGTGGGAGCGGGCCTGGAAGTCACAAAAAGGGGGTGTGCCAAGGATTTTAGGAAAGTGGGGTGGAGTCCCAGGTCGGAACTGGGATCTCCTGTGTCAAGGTTCCAAGGACAGAACTACAAAGGCGTTCGGACGGAAGGGGGGTTTCTCAATTCATGACTTTCATGGTCGGGTACTCAAGATGCCCAGTTTTTGTGCGCATGTGACGCTCAACCTCACGCCCTGCGCTGCTTCCCGATCGAAGTGTTTTGGTTCGCGGAAGGGCCACAAGAAGACAACGAAGATGGGGTGTGCCAAGGATTTTGGGAAAATTGACTGTGGGGACACAGACAGAACTGAAATCCCCCTTGTTGGTCCAACCTTACTAAGAAGGAGGTATGTCGCCGCGCGGGTTTAAGGGAGAAAAAGGCACACGCGGGACTCGCACCTATGGGAAATTCAATCCAAAAAGTATCGCTAAACTTCCCAGCGAGCCGTGAAAAGGGGCGGGTAGACACGTGGTATCCCGTTTACAGATTTCTCGTCGGCGCTCAGTACATAACTCCGAATCCGACGTGGAGGGTTTCAATCGAGCAGCCCTCTCCTTGTGCTCATCCTTGCCACGTGTGCAGTAGTGAAAACCCCCGGTAATGTTTGAAGCGGTGTCGAGCACATCGGTCCCACATGGGGACCCTCCCGGCCGCGTCACGCAGGATTATGCAGGACTTGTCGCAGAGAGCGTTTGCCGCTCCAGCCGAGTGCGCCCGACAGCGGCGATAATCGTTGCACAGAGTGTTAGGCCAACGAGGCTCCATTGTCGTTCACGGGACGACGATCAACTCGTTAAATGGCAACAACAATGAATAGGGTCGAAAGTGTGTATCAACAATAACAAAACCTTCACTAACGAATCCCGAACACCGATTTTCAGGAGGAAAGTAGTAGCGCCGGCCGATCCTAGCAACAACTTCTCGTACGTCCCACTTGCATGCACGTCTCCTTTCCTCATTGTACGGGAAGGGGCGCGCCGGGGGTACAGGAAGTTGGCGCCCGGTCGGGTTGGGGCAATCAGTCTACATGGCAACAAAGCAAAAATTCTTTCTAATCATACATCGTCCGTTCGACACTCTAAGTAGCCACATCATCCAATCAATCAGCCAATCATCATCTCAACCGTGTTACAACAAACTCTCTAATACGACCCACTTAGTAAGAAGTGCACTCTATAGATTGGTGTGAAGTTTGTTTGGGATGACCTTATGATTTTCTTGTAAATTGAGGTGAAAAATGGGGGGTCGATTAACCTTTTCTCCACAAGTGACACAATGAGAGAAGCAAAGTTATTGTAATTCATCCATTATAACAAACATAACAGAAGGAGAGAGTGAGGTAGAATAGACGCAGACTAGAGCGGAGGAAAGAGTAGAAAGCATCACAGAATGTCCAGTGATTTTGTCAAGGGAAATTCCGGCTAAGAAGCCGAGTGATCAGAACTCACGCTCGAAGGACAAAAAAAAAAGGCGCTTCCACCATAAGATTCCACAATGGCCCCAGGCCATACATTCACTCAACTCTCGATTCGAACCTTTCATAAGCACTGACGATCCCGGTCGTCACGTGCTAATCCAATGTAGCCATTGTCACCCGCCAACTTAGTCTCTGCACAATCTGGCCTGGATCCCACAATCCGGCAGACGATCCAGCGCACAGCCGACAAGACTAAAGTTAACCCGTCAGGATTCTTCAACTCGCCTTTCACACACACCCTTAGCCACTGCTTCCCGGAAGTTGGCAGATGAGTTGAGAGAGAGATTTTCGGGAGCGCTTGCAGAATTTATAGTTGCGGAAAATGAGATAGACGCTAGGAAGGGTTAGGACTGAGGTAGGGAGGGGTAGGGGAAAGTTCGGGGATAATCGCTTGTTAAAAGCCATGTCGATCCTTCAACGCCCAGCCGTACCCAATCAAAATCATCGTGTATCATAAATTTCCTTCTTACACGGCGCGTCTCCTTGGCTAGAGGGAAGAAAGAGGGAGTCGACATAGTATTTCGGCGTGAGGATTAGAGCGGGAAGAAGAAGAGCGCAAGGGATAACGCGCAACGAAACCAAAATTCAGACGATCAAGAAAGAGAAAAAGGCGCGCGGGGCGAAGGAGAGATGGAAAACGGTTACAGAGAAAGAAAGAGAGTGAGCGCAAAGAAGAGAGTGTTGAAGGTAGCGAGGGGATCGGAGAGGGGAGGTCCGCATGCATGGCGTCGACGCAAAGGCAAAAAGGGCACCGAAACAGTTACAACTAATTCAAAATTGACAAGTACG